GTGCATCTCGGAGCTGCTGTAGACCAGCTTGACGCAGAGGTCCCTGAAGGACAGCTGGCTGAGGCTGAAGACGATGCGCTTGAAGAGGGGGAAGTCACTCAAGGCCCTCTCACTCACCACCACCTGTGAGTATGCCTGCAGCAGGAAATTCAGCTCGCTGATGCCGTAGCTGCCAATGTCCTCCAGAGACTGGGGGTAGCACTTGGGGTTGAAGATGGCTGAGAAGGAGCTGATGGCCTCCAGGACGCTGCTGGGGAACCTGTCCAGCAGGTTGCCCCGCACGCTCTCCAGGTAACTCTCCTTCAGGCGCTCAAAGTGTTTCAGGTGTACCTGGGAGCAGTTGGCCAGCTCGACACCCTTGTAGTAGAGGTGGCTCTCGCCCTCCCGGTCATCCTGCGGGTGCTCGTTCATCTCTCTGAGGAACTCCCGGAGGTTCTGGCCACTGGTGCTCTGCTGGGCCTGCAGAGTGGTGGCCGTGGCTGAGACAATGGGCTTCAGGATGGAGAGGTCAAAGTCCTCAATCTGGAAGAAGCGACTGAGCTTCTGGAAGATTGGGAGGACATCCAGGAGGATCTTGGTGAAGGCCACAAACCGGAACTTCTTGAGCTCTTCGCAGAGGCCACGGGCCACGGGCGAGCGCTCCGCCTCGCTCTCCAGCAGCAGCACCAGTGTGGGCCACAAGGAGTCAATGGCTTCCATGGCTGGGAAGATAGAAGTCCAGTGGATGGCCTTGGGGCTCCCAAGGTCTATCTCACAGAGGTCCAGGACGCTCCGCAGCTCCTGCAGGCCATCGCTTTCCCACCGGCAGCTGGAGTAGAGCCTGTACACAGCATCCACGGTGGTCTCATACTTCTGGAGGTACTCGATGGTACCGATAGTCTCGGCTGGCAGCAGGGAGCTGCCGTTGGACAGGCAGTGCATCTCGGTGAGGAGCGGGCAGAGCGAGGTCAGCGCGGTCCCCACCCCACTCAGCCGCTCGGCTACCAGCGAGGCGCTGTCGGCACTCAGCCAGGTGAGCTTCACGGTGGGGATGCCGAAGGAACGCATCACCTCGCCCACCTTGCCTGCCACGGCGGA